CTGGTGAGGATGAGTACTTGTGAACTCGTGTACTCGTCCAAGTACCCTAGAGTTCCAAAGTATGGAAAGGAATGTGAGAAATACAGTGTATCAATTTCCTTCAAAAGTACGCATTGGTTTGTTAAATACGCATGAATGTTAAGGGGAAAATAGCATCAATTTTACGTCAAAGAATGTAAACTTGCTGTTGGGATTTAAACGGGAATGTCAAATTTAGGTAAAATTCACTTTAATTTTATATCACCGTTTACGTGTTAAAGAGATGACATTTCTGGAAACATGTTGACATTATCTTGACGATGGTTTGCGTAAAGTATATATAAAGTGGAAAAAAGTTACACTCATATTACGTAAAATTAACATGAACATGCTGCTTGTGTCAGAAGTATTGAACCAATGCAAATCGCATTTTCTCTGCGCAATCGAAACAATCTACTCAGCAGAATATTGGAGATTTTTTAAAATTAATATATTTCGCTCTCTGCACACGTATCACTATGGCAGGAGTTGGGACAATTTTTCTGAACTGCACTCATTTTGAAATTTCCGTCGATCGCCAACTTGGATGAGCTTAGAACGCATTCACAAAGTATTTAATCAGGTCACTTTCGAGTTGAGACGTGAGACAATCTTATTCCACGGTCATGGACTCCAGGGATGCTTCAACAGTGAATATCACATTTATGTGTCATGAGTCTTAAGAGTTATGAGCCATGATTATTTGAGTTGTGTTACTCTTATTTGTGTTGTTCTCGAAAAAATACATTATTCGAACCGAGATGTTCGTGGAAAAGACTTGTTCATAAACCTTCACCAACTGATCTCTTTCTAACCGATCATGTTCGTTCTTGCATAAAATAATTTCCCACAAAAAACTGCTTTCAATGCTGAAAAGATCGTTGCGATCCGTGAGTGGTGGGAGGGTCTAAAAATATCAATTAGATTTCGTTCGCAACTTCTGAGGCAGCCTGTACATTGTTTAAATGCAAAAAATGGTTCCGCATTCAAAGTGGAAAATTAGTGAAGCATCATAGAAGATACGGATCATACGGAATTCTTTCGCGAAAATAAGAGTGAAATAAAATATCGGAGCATTAAATGAATGCGAGAACTACTGCATCACGGTCCATGTGTGTCAACGTTTTCTCACTGATCTTGAATGAAGAAAAAATGAAAAAAAAATGCATGAGAGCACTTGAGATCTGTATCTGTTCCAGTCGTAGGTCCGAGAGGATGCGAAGAACCTCATGAATTTCTGAACGGATTTGTGCGAAAGTCTTGCACAGGTGTTATCACGAGGTGAGGAAACGAATTGCCAAGATTCATGCCAGATTTGTGGTTTTTTTTATTGCTTGGGCTATCGACCTGGTACGAAATAAATATTACGAAATTCCTTTCGGCAGTGCAAGAGGAGAAGTTGACGTAGGAATCAGCACAGATTGCATCAGAGACGGCAAGTACGTGCCCGGAAGCACAGTGGAATACAAGTGCGACGATCATTATGTCATCAAGGGATCGCGGGTCCGAATCTGCACAGAAAGCGGAAAATGGACTGGCCACGTCCCCTTCTGCGATCCGGGTGAGTCTCGATCCTCCACCGCTTCGAAGTAAATTCACCGCACCTCAGCATGCAGCCCTCCTCCCATCCTAGAATGCGGGAAGAGGCGATTGGTGACGGGGTTGTCGGCCGGGGGCAAGCCGTCGAGTCTCGGAGAATGGCCATGGCAGGCTGCCATTTACGATGTCAATAAGAAACTCATCGTTTGCGGAGGGGCTCTCATTCGAAAAGAATGGGTTCTCACGGCAGCTCATTGTATCGCATATGGTAGTTCCTCGCGGCCACGGCCTCAGAATGACTTCCACGTTTATTTGGGGAAACATTATCGGAATGATTCATTGGACGATGACTTTGTGCAGCATACACAGGTCAGCGAATCATTGTTATATCGTTCTTGTGTCGATATTGCCAGCCTTACATGATGTAAATTG